TTTGACAACCACCCATATGGGCTTTGAACAATTTCCAGCTAGCATGGCCAGGGTCCCAAAGTGAAGGCGTGTTGGTTGAAAAGTAGACCTGTCTTTATGTTGAAGCAGTGGCCCTTTAAACGTTTTTTTGTTGCAGCCTATGAAGGCAGCTTCAAAAACTGTTGCGAGGAAACGGTGAGTTTGGTTGGTAACCTGGTAACACTACGCACGGCTGTCAAGTCTTGCACGGAGCCGGGCTAGATGCAGCACTTTGGAGTCTCGTACTTGTAACCGTTGGCCTTGCTTTGTTGAAATCAGAACCCCTTCAGCCCACGCACCCAGCTTTCTTCAGGCCCCATTTTCGAAGAGACTTGAAGCTTAGAAGCCGTAGTTAGGATTCCAAGCGTCGTTGAATGCAAGAGACACAGTAGGGCTGAAGAAAGGGTTACAAGGACTTTCTCAAGAAACTGAGGACTTCAATGGTACTTGTACTGTAGCAGAGACTTCACGTAAACTATGAACCTTGTGCTTGCAAAAGAACAGCTGCCGATGCATTCTGCCAAAGCGAGAGAGGACTTCGCAGCAGAACATGAACGCATGCTGCGACGTATTCAATCCGCTTCTTCATTTGCATCTATGCTGAAAGCTAATCTTCGCCTTCCTTGCAGAGAAGTGTTTCAGCTTTCACTGGCACAGCTCACGGGTCATTCGACAACGCGCCAAGGATTCATATGAGCTATATAAAACTCCTCAAAGGGGGTTGTATANNATTAAGGGGATACTGGGGGTTTAGAGTGTAGCTCATATCATTCCATGTAGACATGGCTGCAGCTGCCTTGCCCCTTGCAGCCAAGCTCTAAGTTTCAGAAAAGCTTTAAATACTCACCCATAAGAGATCATAGATAGATGGGTATATATACATATATATCTATTGCGGGGACATATCTGACATCAGGGGTGAGGGGGGGAGGGGATGTTTAATATTAGTAGTTTTAGTATGAAGTGATTATCTTTGATTGGCTTCGGGTAACCTTGCGAACCAGGCTCGTTTTTACACGCCGCCGGCGCTGTCTCCCAATGGCCACATGAAAATTGTACCCAGGCCTCAAGCTCAGCCTCTTCGTTTAAAGCGACTTTAATGGGAACCCGAAGACAGGAAACCCCCAAGAATTACTAGGAATAAAGTAGGAATATACCTANNTCCTTATATTCCTATTAAATTCCTAGAATAGTCATGTGATTCCCTGTCTTGGGCCTTGCTTCAAAAGAAAGTGTTCATTGGCTTCCAGGCCCTTGGTGGCAACAAATTGGCAGGCGACGGGTAAGATGTCAGTCATTAAGATGTTCTGACTAGTAATGCTCATCTTCATAGTAAAACATATATATATATATGTAT